CAGGTACATCGGACTTGTCAACTTATGTCTCAGGGTGACGGAAGCAGCGCAGGCAACTGTTATGGATAGGCGTGTCGCTTACCGCCAGGAGCACGACTTGTTCGTCCCGTCGCTTGGTATTATAAAAAAAAGTAACTACAGTACGTGCAGGCTTTCCCGCGCGCTCCTGATCACGCGCGATTAAGTGACTGTATACAGGAGGCTTATGAAACAGACATTGGTGGTAACAACACTACGTGCAACAAAAAATATTTTTATAACAACTTTTAGTTTGTAGATCACTCAAAAAAAGAACACTCACCTCTAAAGCCTTCATAAGACTGTATAATCATTGACATGCATAACTCTCACCGGGCGTGGGGACATTATTCATATTGCGCCCGCGCCGCCACCTCGGTGACATACCAACTATGACAAATGCATTCTATCGAGCTACAATGCGCGCGCAGATAAGTGTCAAGTGTACAGTATGCACAAGTACAGGCTTGCAAGTTCGATTTTAACAGTTACCATATTACGAAATTTTAATACATTTTTTAGTATCCTGGAATTAATATCTAAGTTCGTGGCTTGTCAGTTTTCTGTTAAATCTCTGAGGACTCATGTTTATTGTACCAAATTAAAAAAAACCTAGTTTAATTTTTTTTACACTACGGTAATTTTAATGTTTCTATATTTTTACGATCTGGCATAATTAACTCGTAATATCATCGTAACCCGTCGTGTTATTCTATAGATTCTTATCAAACTTCATAACAGGGCAAAAAATATATTCGTTAACTTACAACCGTTGTTCTATATATACAAATAAAATAACAGACGAGGAGGCAATGCACTTTGTTATAAATGATGTGTCGACGATTTAGCCGGGGATCGTGTTTCATTTAAATTTGCCAGTCCCGTCAGTTCGTGGACTTTAAACCCGAAGTGTTATAACATAGTATAACTAAAACGAGTAATGTAACTCTATACAAACGTAGCCTAGTAGTACGCGTGCCTGTCGCGCGCCGTGTACGAACGCACACATTCGCAAAATCTCGTGGTGCACTCGCGTTGCATTGCGCGTGTCGTCTCACGCGCCAACATTACACAATTGAATTTTTTCGGCGTTTAAAAAATTACATCAAATAGTAGACGTGTTTATGGTTCAGTTTATAGTTGTTTGAATGCCTCAAATACAGAATTGTTCAGCATTTCATTTCTATTGCATAATCATAATAAAAACAGAATAAAATATCCCAAAAAACTTAAGATTCTATACAACCTCTAAAAATAGCTTTGGTTGATTCCGCATAACAAAGAAAGTGTTGCATCTATCACTTTGGAAAAAATATATAGTAAAATTTAGGATATACACTGATTACTGCACGGTGTGAAAACAAGAGTCCTAAAAATTTTCACGACAGGAAAAGAACTTAAACTTACTTTGAAATTTTACAAGAAAACCACTGTACTGAATAGACACTTTACATATAAGTACCGATTATTTTTTTATATCAACTGAACTAAATATAATACATATATAGTATACGATATACACTTTTCAAATGGCCTTAATTTCGTTTGTAAAAAAATAAATTCTGAAATAAAGCCAATGTCCCTGCCTCTCCACCCAAGCAAAATGAACCGTATTAGTACTGGAGAAATGTGAATTCGAGCTGAGGTAGTAATCGGCTGTTAAGATTTTTTATATAATTGTGCTTCGAGCGAAGTGTAGGCATATACGCGCCGAACAGGCGGGAGTTGCCCTACTTGTTTTAATTATACTATGTTTGTAATAGCAAAAGATAAATAGACTTAATACAGACATTCGATAGGTGTTAGAGAAAAAATTGAATCGATAAATGGAAAGATAAAACGTTGAATCTGCGCCATAGATGTTATAACAAACACTTTACGTGGCATATAAAAGCACGCAAAACATTAATTGGCATGAATTCATGGTTCACGTAATGGTTATTTGTTATTTATTGTATATAACGGGTGGTAACCTAGTAGGAGATCGGTAGCTCCTCAATAGAGAAGTCGATGGGTCGGATGACTTAAATTTCCAACGTACGTATATCTGTGAATGTTTTGTAGCAATTATTGGTAACTGTATAAGTTTAGTAGCAGTAGAGCTCCTTGTGAACGATTTCGTCCAGGGAAATACTACCACCTTACCAATTTCTACTGCGAAGCAGTAATGCTCACATTACTGCGTTCTGATTTGTGTGTTAGTGAAATTACAGGTATTATTTAAAGCTCTGTACTCAGAGCTTTAAATAATACCTGTAATTAATATTCTTTATTGCACCAAACAAATAAACAGAAACAAAAAAAATAACATAAGGTGAGCAAAGGTGGACTTATCTCTAAAAGAGATCTCTTCCAGCCAACCCAAGGCAGTGAGAGCAAAGGTTTTAAGCGGGGAACGGCGTGCAAAAGAGATAACAAAAGATGATAATCTACATGTATAAAATATGCATATATAAAATTACCGTTAAATATTTAAAATAGTAGTAGTAGTAGTAGTAGTATATAAATAAATAGACTACATAACGTATAATACATTGTATCAATAAACTTACACATATACAAATATGATTATTATTAAGAGAGTTCAGCAAGAAAGTGCGCTGTCAACCTTTTCTTGAAGGAAGCAATTGACGGACTAGACTGAATATGGGAAGGGAGTCTGTTCCACAGCTGCGCTGCAAGAGAGGAAAAGGAGTTGTAAAAGAAAGTTGTTTTACAACTACGACGAACGAGCATCTTAGTGATGCACGGACGCCTTGAGCGGCTAGGAGGGGGAAGCAGTTGGAACCGGGAACGTAGGTAGGAAGGGGAATTAGGGTCATGAAGTATATTAAAAAGGGTGGACAGGATATGCACATCACGGCGAAGGCGGATTGGGAGCCATTTTAACCGAGCACGAAATTCGGAAACGTGATCAAATTTTCGGAGACCGAAAATAAATCTGATAGCCAGGTTCTGTAGACGCTCTAGTTTGTTTAAAAGGTCTTCGGTCGCATCCAAGTAACAAACGTCGGCATAGTCAAGAATAGGGAGTAAAAGAGTTTGCGCAAGCATAATTTTGGTGTGAAAAGGAAGAAAGTATTGGAGACGTTTGAGAGAATGATATGAGAAGTACATTCGTCTGCTGACCTCATTGACATGAGAAGTCCAAGACAAGGTGCAGTCCATTACTAACCCGAGATTTTTAGCCTTGTCAGTATATGCAATTGGAACTCCGTCATATACCAGCGCAGGTACCAAAGACCAGTCCAACTTGGACCTCAATATGCTACTGCCCACAATCATTGCTTGAGACTTGGCTGGATTAACCAAAAGGCCAAATGACTTGGCCCATAACTGAATGGCAGACAAATCACAGTTGATAGACGCAATTGCCTCCGCTACCTCGCCCACTTCAAAATTACGATAAAGCTGAAGATCATCAGCATATAAATGGAAGGGAGAAGAAATGACACGGGAAATATTATTAATAAAAATAGAAAAGAGTAAAGGAGAGAGTACGCCACCCTGGGGCACACCAGCAGTTAAGTTAGACCAAGATGACGAGCCATCATTGATTTTCACGCTCTGCTGGCGACCGAAAAGATACGAAGAGAACCAACTTATAATAGGAGAGGGGATATTAACAGCCTGAAGGCCACCAAGAAGAATGTCGAAGTTAACAGAGTCAAAAGCGTTGCTGAAATCCAAGAGGGCAATGTAATTGCTACGACACACCTATCCGTGCAGTAGCACTGCAACTGTTACGGATAGGTGTGTCGTTTACTACCCGACGCAACGACTTGTTCGTCCCGTCTCTTTGTACCTTAAGAAAAAAGTGTTAATAATCACTATTATTTCGAATAATAATTTTTTACAACTGCACCAATTGTCTCCAACTGCACCAATTGTCTCCAACTGCACCAATTGTCTCCAGCTGCACCAATTGTCTCCAACTAGGGTTTTCTTGACTTCCAAGCCACGAAATTCACTCCTGGGTACTATCCAGAACACCCACACCGTAACCAGTTTACAAAAAAAGGGTGTTTCGAAATAGGTCCTATAAGGAATTGAAACCGGAACATTCTCAACTAACGCCTACAGTGCTAACAGTTGGAACATACCGAGCTCGCAAAATTTTTCCACTCGTCATTACTAGTAAACAAATATTGTTTTTAAAAATAAATACGTTTTGTTATTCTAAATTTAAATTACAAAAAAAAACAAACCCGTTTATTAATACAACATTAAAAACGTTCAAAATGTTCTATTTTTAAACTAACATATTTTAGATTTGTTATTAATTTTGTTTCGTCGAAATCGCGCTTGGACCACCGCCAAAAGAGGCTGTCCACACTTGAGAACGCTTGACCTAGTGCTATGTACGAGTACAGTCAGCCACAAAACATGTTAACATATTGAGTTAGCTTTTATAAGACATTAAACCATCAAATATTTAATGAAATAGTTAAGCAATGCTTGCATAAGTATGCAAGTGCGTATTGAAAATTTGAAATTTCGTTTATTTGTGTTATTTATGAAATATATTTTTTACTATTCATTATATATGTACACTTATATACAATACAATCAGTAGAGCTTCTTGTGAGAGTTCGTCCAGAAAAGTACAGCCACCATACTTCTACCGCCAAGCATTTTCATGCAAGCATTACTGCGTTTCGATTTCGAGGGGTAAAAATGCTGGTGAAACTACAGCAAGACGGGGGACGTGTTAACTTGATATCTCAAGGTGATGGGTGCAGTACCAGTGTCCCTCAGATCTCAAAGCTCTCAAAGTGTCCCAAAGCTCTTAGCAGCATTGCAACTGCTACGGACAGGCGTGTCGCTGATCACCAGGCGCACGACTCATTCTTCCCGTCACTGGATATTGTAAAAAAATACAGCTAGAGCGTTAATGTGGCTAGAATAATAGAAAAGATTACCGATAAGGTTTGTCTGCAGAGCTGTATTACTAAATAAAATGATGTTTCTTTTTGTTACAGATGCAATCGAGCGCAATTAACAAGCCACCTCAATAGCATTTTAATTTTCACGTGACAAAAGTTATCTGTGATCTCATTTTATCATTTAAGTACCAAAAAAACCCTCAAAAATCCGCAAAAAGGCGTCTAACTGATATTTAAAAAAAAAGAATTATCGAAAGTGGAATTTGAAACTTCGAACACGAGAGCGTAGTGTTGTACCGTCATGGATGACAGATAGTGTGGTTTAGGGATGGGATAATGTGGGGGTGGTTTGGATGGTGAAAATGCCTCATGCGCAGTCGAGTTCGGCTGCGAGCTCGGGCGGGGACGACCTGGGCTCCACGGATGAGGTCAAGGTCTTCAAGGACGAAGGGGACGGAGAAGACGAGAAACGGAGTTCCGAGAACCTTCTTGAGGAGAAGTCCAGTCTCATTGATTGGACTGAGAGTGAGGTAAGTGCGCATTATTTGTAACGTTTTTAATTTGTGCATTGAATTGCATATCATCCAAACGATTACTGGAGATTCTTACCCGAAGTATAGTACACTAAAAATATAAACTCAAAAATATTACTTATTTTTTTAAAGTTGTAAATAAGTTTGTTTACCCAATAAAACAAGAATTGAAGTTGAGTTTAATCCGACAGTCGAATTTCTTAATGCACAACAACTTCGAAAGAATAACCCAAAATTGCGGAACATTCAAACAAATGTTACGATAAATACTTTTCGAAACATCTCCAAAAAGCAGGGAGGCGTAAATATTCGAGCAAATCGATCGATTCAATCGGAAATCGTAATCGAAATCGAAACTCAGAAAATTGGTACAAAGACCATTGTAATGGCATCACGTACGATAATCGTCGCAATTATGACATACACGGGAGAATTGCTAAGTATAATCCAATATTTATACGAAGCGTGACTCTCGTGCTTTCTGTACAAATCAGAGTTCTCTATCTCTCTCTTACGTGCAACTTTTTAGGAGAGAGAAAAGGATGTCATTTTTCGTAGGTGTCCAAAGTAATGTTTGCACTCCCTCGCCTCTCAACAGGTAGAATCGTCGACAAAAGCCAGTGGGAGTCTGTTTATTATGAGAAATACCTGCATGCAGGTAGATATGCATTGTGAACGCACCCCCTTGTCGAATAATGGAGTTTTCGGAAATACAATGAATAAGTAATTTATGTTGGGGAACACAAATGTTTTTATATTTTCGGAAACGTACCTGTGTGCTTTTTGGGATATTTTTTTTCCTCTTGTTTTGGGTTCTGTTTAGTTTCGGTCTTTTGCGGTTGTTGTTGTTTGTTTTACGGGCAATTTGCGTTACAGTGACATGTCTATCGGTGCTAGATATTATCTACAATGCAAAATATTCGTCTGTCTCAATTTTGGCGTCCATGCCAAGCATACTAGAGGGAGCAAATATGTCTACGACTTTTTTAATATAATATATTTGTACGGTCGACTTAGGGCGCGTTCCCATTATGTCATGATGCAGTTTAAAGTGTCGTGGCTTGTATATTTAAATGAAGTTGTTCACATATCGTACAACATGATTAGCTGTCGTTCTCGGCCTTTTTGACGTTAGAACGACAGACTGTCGTAGCATTTCCGGCGATAAATAAAACGTCACAATAAAAATGTGACGGTAGATAATCGGAGCTTCAAACGATTCTGTCGTTCAAACACGACGACAAATCGGTTGCCTTGAGCCGATAAATTGTCGTCACGATTTAGTGGAAACAACTAGACACAACAGTGGTTCAACGATAAAAGAAACGTGCACGACACAGTCACGACAGATAGTCGTGATATGAGAAAAGGTTAGACGCGACTATCGTCCAACGATAAATAAAACGTTACGACATAATGGAAACACGCCCTTAGAGCGTGTACCCACACGACGACTTTTAGCAGCGCGGCTTAAGCAGCGACACAATCGCGATGCAAACGCGATGTACGTTTTTAGTGAGGCAACATAAGCAACTGCATCGACGCAGTCGCGTGTCTGCATATACGCAACCGCCTTTAAATCGCTAGTGTTACTATGCAATTGCGCGTTTGTGAAACGCGCGTTTGCATGGTTAAAAGTCACCGTGTGTAACCACTCTTAATTAAGCAATTCTTCTATTATGCTTAAAATTATCTGCGCAACCAATCGGACATAATGAGGTCGATTCCCGTCCATTCTAATGAATATTTATAAATGTTCCGAGTGTGTAAAAATTTGATACTTTTTTACGACCTCCGCTTTTACAAGATCGTAAACTATATCGGAATTAGCATTAAAAGCAAGCGTTGGAAACATTCCTAATCATTCCAGAAATACAAAGCGTTGAGTGAGAATAATAAATGTTATGAAAAACATGTAAAGAAGTTTTTGAATAACCGATTGCGTAAAGCGGAACTCAAAACGTTGCCTACAAATGTTATATCGTCATCTAATCTGTTCATTCAACAGTTGTTCTTAGTAGCAAATTCAAACTGACCAATAATAATAATCACACTGAACATAGCTCCGCACTATGTTTAGTGTGTGCGTTTTGCAGCGGGTGCCATGGACACACATTTAGACAATCACAAATTACACCCAAACTCACGAGAGAAATAAATGTAGGCCATACATATATTTCTCCCGGCCTGGGAATCGAACCCAGGACATCTCATGGCAGTTCGGCATGGTAACCGTTCGGCCACAGAGGTAGTTAAAATAGAATAAAGAATATACATTGTGTATTTGTGTAAATTATAATAAAATCAACACAACAGTGTTACTTAAAAGAGGCGTAATTGTGTTAAAGTTTAAAAGTGTAAAATCGTACAAAAAGATTTGAACACAAATATGCAATTTGTTTACAAAAGTATAAATCTCAAAAAATTCAACACATGCTCTTATACCTGTATATTAAAGACAAAATTTGAAGTTCTTGTTGTTCGTCAACTGCCCAAAAATATGTGCTTCGCCGAGGCTATTCAATTCATTGTGATGCCATTGAATCATGTCTACAAATACATGGAATACCTTCAATAGCTCTCCGCAATCTACCTGAAGTTGACACCTGCTGATACCATAGTCATATTTTTTTCTCTTAAATTGTAGCGCCGCATGAAGGCAAATTTAACTGCCTACTGGGAAAAATTACCATTAATTTGAGTAGACATTTTTGTGGCATAAATTCTAAGACCACCTCAGATGTTTTTTTAAAGGCTTGCCAGTTAAGTTACAATCGTCGCCATGTTGCAAAATACTTAGAATAATAACGCATAGAATGATAGTTTCATATCAAACGAACTGTCACAAGTGAGGCAAAAATCAAATTCATGTAGGCTAGTTTTAGTAGTAGGTTAATTTTCGGTTTTAGTGAATATTTATATAAAAATACAAGTTGAAACGCGTTACTTCCTTGTGGAATGTGATGTTAGTATCTATTTTATGTTTGTCTGACGTATTTTTACACTCATTTACCGCACATTTCGTCATTTTTAGCTAAAATTCTGGAACTGTTCGCGGTGCAAGTTGACCTTGAGCAATGAAGGCCCGCCCGCTCGTGTAGGCCCATTGGGAGCGCTTCAATTTGCCTTAGCGTGTGCGGGCTAGGTTTCTATGCGTTATTATTCTAAGGCAAAATATTTACAAACTTCTATCTTCTACCAATAGAGAGACTACTAATCTGCCCTCCTTGTCATAACTAACGCATTTGCATTTTGGTAACTTTCAAAATGTTTTTTTTTTTCTTTGAAATATTTATTACGCTGATTTCGCTTAACAATAAAACTGAAACCGCTTATAGGGTTGTTAATCTCGTTTCCTGATCCCAAATATGTTAGTAACTTAGTTTCGCCAAAAATATCGTTTCTTAGCGAGATAAATTAGACACCTACTGTACATTTTCGTTAAGAATGCAGTAGACATTTCAAAGCGCGGAAGAAAAAAAAACAATGGAAGTGCCTTAAGCCTCGATTACTATGAGAACCGATGTCGCCAAAACTAACACATTCTTAATTTGAAACACTACAAAATCTTGATCTTGATTGGTTTCTTGTAACAAACAAATTATTTCGATAAACAGAAAATTTATTAAAATAAAACTTTCCGATGATATGAAATACCACCACTGGTAATTTTTTTTAGTGCGGCTGTCGTTTTTGCACTCCAAAACAGCACAGTACGGCAGCGCAGTATGTCTCTAGGATTTTAGACAATTTGCACGAAAGAATGACACAACCACACCATACAAAGCGAAAATGGCGGACTGAGCTCAGATAGATCTTTCGAGATCTATAGTTAACACGCGTCAAACGCTAATTAACCATTTCATTTATTGTTCTGTGTTTCAAAGTAATCAGTTCATGGTTTTTTATTTATGAGTATTGCAGACAAATCACATTCGTATATTCAAACTTATTAGAAATAAGATCTGACTATACCTACCCTTCAATCAAACACAGCATTGCTGCTTTGCGATAGAAATAGATGATACAACCTTCACTCAAGCGGGTTCCGCACCTTACCACCAGTGTTGAGTTTTACATTAAATTTTGCACAATAAAGCAAAAGATAACGGGAATGTAGGTGTAATGTCTGACAATTTGTGGTTAGCAGGAATTTATGGCAGGATTTGTTACTTGTTTTGTTACATTTCTACATAGTCTGTGGTTAGACAACGTGTGACACACTATCGTACACAATCTATTTGTAAAATAACTTTAAAGTGTCTTTTTTAGAATTAATAAGTGATTTGAACGTGCTTGCGTCCTTGAACGATTGTTTATCGAGTGCGTGTGTGCTATTTAAGCATTCTCGTATAACTATTTGATAAATAACTAAAAAAAGAGTTACCAGTTCCATCAAGTTCGGACCGCAACGGAAATCGCCTGCCATCGACTTTTTCTAGACACAAGTGGAATACATCTGACCATATAGGCTTATTATCCTCTTAGTGTCTTCAATATCCTGCTACTTGAAATACATTGTACTTTGTAAGTTCTTATAAATCGATACTATCTCAGCTGGAATTCAAATTTTTCCCATACTGGATCGGTTTTATTGCACGTGTCGAGCGGCAGGGACACACGGGCTTTATTTTAAAATTTATTTTTTTCAAACGAAATAAAAGCCATTTGGAAATTGTATATCCTATACTATATGTGTTCTATTTAGTTCAGTTGACATAAAAAAAAAAATGTTGGTATAAATGTAAAGCACGTTTGTGTTTATTTTTTCTATCATGATTTTCGTGTCGTGTTTTCGCACCGTACACTAATCAGTGTATATCCTCAATTTTCCTATATATTTTTCCAAAGTCATTGATTCAACAATTTCACTGTTATGCGGAATCAACCAAAGCCGTTTGAGGTTGTATTGACTCTTAACGAACGACAAGAAAAAGTATATGTTGTCCCTAATGTCCTTTTCACAACAGGCGTTGTCAATTATTAGATTTTTTTAT